CTGTCCCTAGGGCTCCTGAGGTGGCCTCACTGGGGCAGAGCAGAGGAGGAGCAGAACCTCCCTGACCTGCTGCCCACACTCTTCTCCATGCTCCCCCAGAAAATAAACCCTGAAAACCACCTGGTGGTGCCACCTCTGTGTTGCCAGCTCCTCTGCTTTCTGGAGGCTGCCAGCGAGTGGCAGCTGAGGTGAAGCTCTGCCAAGAGCTCTGCAGACCTGGAGCAGAGCAGTCCCTGAGCTGCCAGGCCTGTTCCCAGTAGGAGTTTTTCCTGCTCCTGGGGATGCAGCATGCCTGTGCTTTGCCTCTGCCTGAGGACCTTTGTGTTCCTGTTGTGTGCTTGCATCCTCCCGTGGAGGAGGGAGCGTGGGGGGCACTAACCCCAGACCCTTCCCACCCTGCTGCTCCAAAACCAAGGCTGGACCCTTCCTTAATTCCAGTTTCCCTGGTGGGAACAGGGTGGATTTTGTCCTGCTGCAAAGCCCTCCCGTGGTGCCCAGTGCTGTGTTGCCATGCTGGGTGGGCCCCGTGGGTTGGTGGATTTGGTTTTCTGGGCTAAACAGACACACACCAGAGTTTATTCCAAAGGAATAACCAGCCCAACGTCGGCACCTGGCTTCCCAGGGAGGGAAGAGGTGGAGAAACACTGGTGGGTGGGCTCACAGCTGCTTTTCCCACCTTGGAAGGACCAAAAAAGGATTGTCCTCTGCTGGAGGGAGGAGGGGCAGGGGTGTGGTGGCCGAGGGGTCCCTGCTTGGGGCGCTGGCTTTTGTGTGAGGGGGAGGAACGGCCTGCATGGCTTCACGACGTGGCTCACTCCTCCTTGCGCCTTTCCCTTGCCCTGCATCCCAGGATTCAACCCCTAACACCTCAACCCTTCCCTGCTTCAGCCTCCCGAGCAGTCTGGGGAGGGTCTCCCAGCCTCAGGTTAACCCTAGACTCTGGTCTGTGACCGTCTCGCTTCTGTCTGTGCTCTTTCTTGCTTTGCCATAACCCGGGACGGGCAGGCTCAGAAGAGGAGGTACAGCCCGGGAAACCAGGTACTGACCCACCCAGCTGGCAGGTTCCCCCTCGGCTCTGCAGCTGAGGAATTCCCTCCTCCCAGCTCCAGGAATCCCGGGGGGGAGCCGGGAGAGGCCTCGGGGCACCGGCCACGCTCCATCCCGGGTGTCTGGGAGTGAGGCCGGGCCCCAGGGATGCCAGGGGCTGGGATTGTGCTGTTTTCTCCCTCGAGGAGGGTTCTTGGGGGGGGTGGGTGCAGGAGTTTGGGGTCAGCTGGGGGTCTGGAGCAGCAGCTGACGGGCGGCCTGGCTCTGGTTGGCAGCGTGTCTTCCCCTACATCTCTGCCATGGTGAACAACGGGTCCCTCACCTACGACCACGACCGGGACGGGCGCCCCACGGAGCTGGGGGGCTGCACGGCCATGGTGAGGAACCTCAACCACGACACCTTCCTGGTCATCCGCTACGTCAAGAGGAGGCTGACGGTGAGAGCCGCCCGCCGGGGCGACGCCGGGGGGGAGGGGAGGTGGCCCCGGGGAGGGGGCACTGAGGGAGCTGCTGCTTTCTCAGGTGCTGATCGACATCGATGGGAAGCACGAGTGGAGGGACTGCATCGACGTGCCTGGCGTGCACTTGCCTCGGGGCTACTACTTTGGGACTTCTTCTGTCACTGGAGACCTGTCAGGTACTGCCCCGGGGGGATGTGGCAGCTGCTGCCCGGCGTTGGGGTGGTTGGAGGTGTGGTTTGGTACCTGGTGGGGCTTGCAGAAGCATGGGAGGATGTTGTCATGCTCTAAACACCCTTGGGTGGGGAGTGGGAGTCTTGGGTTGTGTCTCGCAGCAGCTCCTCGGGAGCCCAGAGCTTGGTCTGGGTGTGTTGCTCCCCTGGAAGGTCTCGCTGAGCTCGCAGTGGGGCCCGACAGGGTGGTGAAACAGCTCATCTGGGAGCTCTGTCTCCAAAACACGTGCCTCAGGAAAAGTAAAAAGAGGGTGAGCACTGAAAACGAATCTTCTGTTCTGCCCTGGAGTTCCTGGGCTAGTCCTGGGGGCAGAGCTGACCACACTGCTAACACCCTGGGTATTACAGCTGAGCCACGGGGCTTCCTCCTGCTCTGACTCTGTCCCTGGGACACACCAGGCTCTATTTCACTTTGGAATAGAAAGGTCTAGAGGCCAAGTGTGGGGAGGAGCAGCTGAGGGAGCTGGGGGTGCTGAGCCTGGAGCAAAGGAGGCTCAGG